CAATCTGTGACCAAAATTTTGTCAATCTGTGACCAATTACTCAAATGTGACCTAAAAATTTAATAATCTGTGACCTCGAAATAATATGTGACCAACCAATTTAAAAATCTGTGACCTCGAAATAATTTGTGATGTACAAATTTTTTGATATGTGACCTCGAAATAATTTGCGATCAAAAAATTTGACGATATGTGACCAGTAAATAAATCTGTAACTTAAAATTATGAATATGTGACCATTAATCACAAAATTTGACTTTATTATCTTTATTTAATAAATATTTTTAATTAATTAAATAAATACTTGATTTTTGAATTTTAAACTATTTACCTTATTTTTGAATTGAGGTAAAGAAAACACCTTAAATATAATTTTTTTCCCTAGATTTAAATTTGGATTGAGCCCTTTTAACCCATACGGAGTCCATGTATGGCATATTTATTTCAGAAGCCATGGTAGAAGTTTTGAGAAAAGGGGGGATTGTAATGTTTGAGAAAACGGGTGGTGGTGTTACGCCTCGAACAATGGCTTTATACTGTGAGTAAGGCACTAATCAACGGAAAATCGGAATCAAAAGTTGGATTTGCATACATTTTCATGAAAATATATATCTGCAATATATCTGTAAATGGTCTATTTGCTCTTTAGGTTTAGGGTTCTCTCTTAGAAGCTCATTTCAACAAAGCGAATATCTGGGGCGGATTACTTGAATGAAAATAAAAAAATAACACCATTTTAGAGATTTTGGGCGGTTACCTTTTTATGATTCTTTCCTAGATGGTATTTTCAGTGGGAGAAGGTCTGGGGCGGATAACTTAGATGAAGAAAAGAACTTACGCCATTTTAGGGATTTTGTTGGTTAAGTTTGTGTTTTTAAGGCGTGTTTGCTTGAGACTAAATTAATGACCAACTGTTTGCTGGAGACTAAAGTAATGACCAACCTTCTTTTTACATTTCTATTATACTTTACAAAAATCAGTAAATATGATTAAAAAAAAAGTTGAAAGTATATTTTAAATATTTATTATAACATAGGTGTGTGGTAGAATTTCCACTTTAATCATTGCCTAAAGAGATTGGATTGGATCGGATCTGGCATCATAGTCCAACAATCCCCTTTATCTT